AATATGATTTTGTGTGCCATTATGTGAAAATTTGTGATTTTAAATTTCTATCTGTTCACCGTAGGAATATCTATTTGATTATCTGCTTCGAAATTTAAATTGAAGGCCTTATCGGCCACCGAAACCAAAATTGATTGCGCCATTATGATTGGCATAATTGTTAGAGCCTACGGTGAAATTTAATCGAAAATTGATTCGGACCAGATTAAGTCGATTAAATTGGTGAATTAGTGCCCAATTATTTATTATTATTATATTATGTTGAGTGGGGGCCTTATTACACTCTCCCTTACTTCCATTGAACTCAAAAAAATCTGAGTTATACAATTATGAGAGAGAGAGGGCCGGCTATAGAGAGAGAGAGGGAGAGACTTGTGCAATTTTTGGCTCAAGCTTGGGAATTTGAAAATTGAACTCAAGAATTGGCTAGAACTTAGGTGTTTGAAGCTCCTAAGTGAGTAAATCCATGAGTTTAATGTGTGATTTTGTGTATTCAAAGTTGATTAATGATCAAGAGTAAGGATTGAAGTGTAATTGAATTGGTTTTGATGAATTGAGAGCCAATATGTGCATACATGTAAGAAATTGTTTTGAATTTGCATGTTTGAGCTTGAAATGCATGATCCATGTAGAGTTTTGGTTAAAGCTCATGTTATGATCACCATTTGTATCATCTAAGTTGAAGATGAGAGTAATACATCACATGCATGTACAATTTATGAGGATAAGAGCTTTGAATACATGAATGTGTTATGATGAAAATGAGTTTGGTGTAATTTGAGCCATGCATGTGATTATTTTGTGAAATTGAGCTCCATTATGTTGTAATTTAGTGTTTGTGCCATGTTAGTACACAAATATGTGAAGTTTGAGCTGAGATTATGAGTTTGGAACCTTTAGAGGTCAGATTTGAGCTGAAGAACACATTCTGGAAAACCTAGAAATTTGATGTCCGATCGAGCGAGGAAACCCCTGCTCGAGCGTGAATTTCGTGCTCCCTGTATTTTTTGCAGACCTTGATGTCCGCTCGAGCTATGTAGGATAGACTTCCGCTCGAGCGTCCAAGTTCCACGCTCGAGCGTAAAAATGACACAACCAGTACTTTTGCAGACCTCATGGGTCGGCTCGAGCGGGGAAGTCCAAGCTCGAGCGAGGATCCTATTTTCTGAAATTTTGAAAATGCATTCTGTGTTCTGTTTTCTGTTCCCTTTCACTTCTAAGCACTCTTAGGCATACATTGGGCATTGTAATTGAATTAAAGAGATAAGAATGAAGCCTAAAGAGGAATATGTGAATTAAAGAACGGATTGACTTATTTGTGACCCATATGTGCTATATGATGTGTAAGGTCAAGCTCCAAGGCAAATCCACAAGCCAATCACTGTGAGTAATACCTTAACAAAGATATCTGAATTATGTTGTTGTCCAAATTGCTTACTTCTATGTAAGTCTTATAAGTTCATTAATTTGTTTGGTGGACAATGTTAGTCTTATAAGTTCATTGATTTGTTTGGTGGACAATGGTTGTTAGGGTAAATGAATGGGCCAGAGGCCGTTTTGATAAGAATAAGTGAATGGGCCAGAGGCCGTTTTGATAAGAATGAATGAATAGGCCGAAGGCCGTTTTGACATGAATGAATGGGCCAGAGGCTATTTTGATAAGAATAAGTGAATGGGCCAGAGGCCGTTTTGATAAGAATGAATAAATGGGTCGAAGGCCGTTTTGACATGAATGAATGGGCCGAAGGCCGTTTGACATAAATGAATGGGCTGAAGGCCGTTTTAACAAGAATAAATGATTAGGCCGAAGGCCGATTGACATAAATGGTTGGGCCAAAGGCCGTTCTGACACAAATGAAAGTTTGACATGCATGAATGGGCCAGAGGCCAGATTGACATGAATGAAAGTTTGAAAGGCCTAAAGGCCAGTTTGATATGAAAGTTTGAAAGGCCTAAAGGCCAGTTTATATGGAAGTTTGAAAAGGCCAAAGGCCAGTTTGACACGAATAACAGTTTGACACTAATGAATTGGGCCCAAGGCCGTATGATGTGTTTGGAACCGCAATTACTTAACTTACATACGTCTATGTATGTATGTATTAGTAGAAATGTAAATTGGGCCCAAGGTCGTTTGGTGTATATTATTCCAATATGTATTCTTTATTTGATATTATTCACTAGGCTTTCGCTCACGCTCATTCATATGTTTGTAAGTGAACCAAGAGAAGTCCAAACCCAGCCCCAGTGAAGTCTGTATGAAACAACTAAGGTTTTGAAGAGTCAGCCCTTGCGTCTCACGCACGAGACACGTCTTCGCCCTTCTGCCATTCTATGTTATTTTGTCATGTTGGCGAGGACTTTGGTGTACGTCTGTATATAGCTTTGATTTGGCTGACTTAGATTTGAATAATTCTATCTATATAGAACTTTATATTACTATACTTTCTGTTGTGAGATATTAACATATGTATGTATGGAATGTTATGATGTGCATGTAAACACGGCTCTATGGACAAAGTTTTAAATTTGCTTCCAATTTGGCCCCTTCACTCTGATGAGTTTTGTCTTATTTGGTTTGAGGTCGTGGGTAATCTCGTGATTACTGGCCGGTTATGGCCTTAACCCATAGGGGCGGGTTCGAGTCGTGACAGAAACCAAACACGCCGACTAAACAGAGTTAGTGGGGTGTTCGGGGGGCAATTGTGGTAGCTGAATAAAAGTAGACGTAGATAGGCAGTGTATATTTTCCCAATCGGTATATAGTATGCACTCGGCCCTGCCCCTGACGTTTCAGATGCCGAATAAGTTGAGCAGGGGGCCGATTAAAAGTTAGAATACGGTATAATGGACGGGCCAAGTGCATAAGTACATGACAGATCAAGAGCGGGCCCTGCCTAGAAGACCAAGAGCATATATAAATAGAAGAACGACGAACAAGAAGAGGTATGTAAGAATTAGTACACTTAACTTAAGACACACGTAATCCAGAGAGTATACACTGACTTATCTGTCGGAGTGCTAATTCCGGCATCCCCGTCCGGAGTGTTCATTCTTTTTCAGGGTACCAGCTGAGGGTCTCGAGCGTCCCATTGGATCCGAAGAGTATTTCCAAACTACCTTCCCCACACTTTTCTATATCAAACCGACAAAACTGATAAAATCGAATCGTAGAATACTGTCCGTATCGATTTCTCAATCATAAAAATTGAAAGGATCAATTCAGTGCTAAATATATTCTTAATACCAATCAAACTGAACTATTTACACTACTATATATAATTTATCTCATATCTTATAATATATTATATATTTTATCTGTATTCTTAGATCAGCAATGCTACAGACCCCCAGTGGGGGTGACCCCCAGTGACCCCCCAGTGCCACGTGTCGGCCTGGGGTTGGCTGAAAACTCAAAAAAAAAAAAAAAAAAATTGTGTTTTTTAGACCAATGGGAGAGGACCCCAGTACCCCCACTGGGGTCCAAAGCTTTATTCATTCTTAGATATTATATATAACTCTCAAATCTTTATAACTATTCCCCCACAATAATGCATCCACTTGATGAATACGGGGCCGACACCATCTCTGTATAGTGAGCATCAAAGTGGAAAGATTCATTTTTTGGCCCTGTTTTGAAAGTTAGATTTTAGTTTTTTTTTTTTTTTTTTGCTAAAATTTATAAAATGATAAAATAGACTAAAATAGTTAATAAGATAAATGTCACATCAAATTCATAATCATTTATTTTTTTTCTTACAAACATCACATTCAATAACAAAAAAATTCAACTATCTTTTTAAATACAAAAATTTTAAACTATTAAAATAGACAAAAACTAAAATAATTAACTTCTTAGACGAGGCCTTTATTTATGAAAAAAAGCTAATGATTATTAGTCAAAATGAAATACCATTTATAAAGTTTATATTTTTTAGTTATCAACTTTGAATCCGATCAGAAGAACTATGAATCAGTGGAACAATTTTGAAATCAAAGAAAATGCCAAATCAATCACGGAACCAGAGACAAACCTCTCATATGCATTAAAAAGAAAAACCCATAAAACCAACTTTATCAGGGAAAATTATGTCTAATTTTATGATCAATTTTTATTTTTTAAACTTTAATAGGATCCAATTCACTTTTATCCCCTAAACTATTGATTTCTATATATATATAATTTTTTTTTTCATTCTTAAACTATTGATTTCATTTGTTTAGTGCTTAAAATTTCTAGGGGTCCGTTTGGGAAGAACTAAAGTGGGCTTTTTTAGCTATTTTAGTCACAAAAGACAAAATAGACTATTTTAGTCACAAAAAACAAAACATCACATCCAACCCATAATCATTACACTCTTCTCTTACAAAAAAAGTCAAAAAAGCCAAAAAGCCAAAAAGTCCTTCCCAAACCAAGTTTTTTAGCCCAGGCTAAAATAGCCAAAAAAACTAAAAAGTCAAAAAGCCAACCCACTTCTCAAACGGAGGCCTGATTTGGTGGGAGGAAAAAAAAATTATAATTTGAACAACTTAAATCATATGAATAAACTCCCATTTAATTGGTTGTAGGTGTACTTTGTTCAAATTAACGAGAAAAATGAGTGATTTGTTGCTTGATTTAAATTATTTAAATTCTAAAATAACTTAGGTTTCAATGATTATTGATTTGTATAAGAATAAAGATTGAGAGCTCTAATTTTAAAATTTTAAAGAGAGCTCTAGTGATGTAGCAAGGATTGGAATCCACGTGTGATGTGATGTGTGTATCTATGTCTTCTTCTTTTTTCTTTTTCTTTTTCTTTTTTCTCTTGCCACATCACTGAGCTTTTTTTATAACTATAAAATTAGAGTTTCAAAATCAGAGCTCTATCATTATTGTTTGTATAATAATCTCCAACCACATGAATAACAATTACAAACTTAAGGATAAGATAAAAAAAATAATAAAATAATTCAAAGGATAAAAGTGAAATTTCTCTATATAAAGAATGATATACAAATACAAAGCTTATCTTCAATCCAAAAACCACACTACCCAGAAATGGCTTTGTATAGTGTCCCAGAAATTGCTCTCAATTCTGGCCAAAAAATGCCTGTTTTGGGACTGGGCACAGCAACTTTTCCACGTGTGGCTGCAAAAGTAGTTATACAAGCAGTGCTCCAAGCAATTGAGCTTGGCTACAGACACTTTGACACAGCTTCTGTGTACCAAACTGAATCAACTCTTGGTGCAGCGATAGAAGAAGCTCTTCGACTTGGCTTAGTCAAATCCCGGGATGAGCTCTTCATCACCTCCAAGCTATGGTGTACTGATTCTCATCCCCAACTTGTCCTCCCTACCCTTCAAAAGACCCTCAGGTAGTGTATGCCCCAGGATCCTGTGTCTCAAAAATTGTCTTTCTCTCCCAATTCATTTACAGCCGATGGATTATATTAAAATCTTGAGACATATACTTCTAATTTTATGTCTTGACAAGATAGATGATCTTCTGTCCAAATCTCTTATATCTTTTTGTTTTAGAATACCTCGCCACCACACAAGAGAGACTCGTTGTGTAGTAGAGAATTGACTTATATTAGAGATTGAGAGATTCTGACAGAAGATCTTTTACATCTCTCTATTCCAAAATACCTATGTGTCATGTGATCAAGTCAGAGAAACTCATTGTATACTAGAGAAGTGACTTGAGAGACTAGTTGAGGTTTCAGACAAATGATCTGACTTTTATTGACAAGAACTTCTTCTTCCATTAAATTTTTGTTTCCATATATAGTTCAAAGTGAACTTGCCGTAAATTCATTGATGTTTTTTAGTTTGAATATGTAGGGAACTAAAGTTAGAGTACCTTGATCTGTTTCTGATACACTGGCCAATGAGCATGAAGCCTGGGGCTATTGAGTACCCACCAAAGACAGAAGACATAGTTCCAATGGACTTCAAGTCTGTTTGGGAAGCCATGGAAGATTGCCAAAGACAAGGCCTCACAAAGTCCATTGGAGTTAGTAATTTCACTACTAAAAAACTTGATCAAATCCTTGCCTGTGCAACCATCCCTCCAGCTGTCAATCAAGTGAGGTTTTTTTCCCAATGACTTTCGTATTTCTTTGACCAAAGTTTATCTATACATAATTATGTGGACATATTAACTTGCTCTATAATCATTAATTTTAAGATAAATTATAAATATATCTCCTAATATTTGTTTAAAATAGAGATTGTCCATTGTGATTTTGACTTATCATAGTTTTTCATTTAACAGAATTAACTGGAAATAAAATAAAATTCATTTACTTGCCTCCATACAAGAAAGTAATTATCATAATTTTTAATTAAAATATATTGATGACGTCATTAAAATTATTAATTGACTTAATGGCTAATTAATGAAAAGAGTCGAGTCATTTGCCATGCGATTAGAAATTTTTTAAGAAGGATATAATTTTTGTAACTATAGAGATTATTTGTATTTTAAGCAAATCTGAAGAAATTTATTTGTAATTTACTCTTAATTTTAAACTCAAAAACTAATCAATTTGAATTATTATTTTTGAAATGTGACTTTCACATTATTCTAATAGATTTTTATATATATATTAGCAAATCAGTTTTCTTTCTATGAACACACCTACACGCATGTATGTATAACTTCATTGAAAAGCGAAGTATTTATGCCAAGCAATTAATAATATGTTTTCACTGATGTTGAAAAGGTGGAATTGAACCCATATTGGCAACAAAAGAAGCTAAGAGATTATTGCAAGGCCAATGGAATCATTGTAGCGGCATTCTCTCCTCTTGGGGCAGCTGGAACCAGTTGGGGCTCTAGCAGAGTTATGGAGTCTCAGGTCCTAAATGATATTGCAAAGGCCAAAGGGAAGAGTGTTGCGCAGGTATAGAAAATTAATTCGGATACTAACAAATCTACCAAATCACTCACAAAGAAATCTACCAGATCACTCATATACGGTGCGAAATCCACAATCATGTGGGATCCATACCTTTTGATAGATATTTTGGTAAAAAGTTGGTGTCTGTAGCATTGTTGTCTAGTATATAATTTTAACAAATTGATATGTTCTTCTCAATAAGTTGAGAGATACTTGGTTCGTTTGGAATGTGAGTTGGCTTTTTGGTTATTTTAACTGGGGCTAACAAGTCTCGTTTTGGATGAACTTTTTTGACTTTTGTAAGAAAAAAAAAATAAAATGATTATAGTCTGAATGTGACATTTTGTTTTATTAAATTAAAAATCTATTTTATCTTTTTGTAGTTAAAATAATTCCAACCTCACCCAAACTCACATGCCAAACGAGTACTTAAATTATGATCTCTCAGAAGAGAGAGTTGAATACTACATCGTACAACATGTCTTGTGAGAGAGACTGTTTTAGGAAGTGTGTTGTATTTTTTTTTTTTTTTTCCGCTCAATTTTAACTCATTATGCTACGTATGCAGAAGAATAAAAAAAAAAAAATTGTATAAAAATATGCACTGAAAAGTTAATGAGCGGTGTCGTGGGAATTATATTCAAAATGAATATGTGATGCATATTGACTTTTAGGCAAAGACTATGCTCTATTTGATTTTAATTATAGATATTTTAATTATATTAATTTGGTCTCTAACTTACCTTAATTTATATTTAAATGGCCCTAGCAACATCTCCCTCCAAATTTGCACAAAAATATCCCTGTTTCTGTTATAAAATTTGGATGGAAAATTGAGTTGAGGACAATTTAAACACAAATTAGATGACATAGAGACTAAATTGACACAAATCAAATATGAAAACTAAAATGAAACAAATTATATACTTTTGAAAGACTTCTATTAATTGAGCATATGAAATGCAGGTTTGTCTGAGGTGGGAGTATGAACAAGGGGTTGCAATAGTGGCCAAAAGTTACAACAAGGAGAGAATGAAACTAAACCTTGAGATATTTGATTGGGGTTTGAATGAAGAAGAGACTAAGAAGATTGGTGAGATCCCCCAAAGTAGGGTCCATCGTGGAGAAGAGTTCATCTCTGTCACTGGGCCTTTCAAGACAGTTGAGGAGCTCTGGGATGGAGAACTTTGATGGTGTTGATCTTGAATCATTTCTATGGACAAACTAGCTTGTGAAATATGTATGTCGCTTGATTGAACTGATGTGGTGTGAACATCTTGTACTTTTGTTGTATAATAGTGTGAGACTCCTGTTGTGGCGGGATAGTTGACATACATCAGTTTCCCGGTGGGGGTCCCTTCCTATGAGTTGGGTTAAATCTAACTGACAATCGATTATTCTAAGACCAGGCCTGCGGAAGCAATGATATTCGCAAGGAGCTTCCTTTTTTCGATTTAAAAAAAATATATATATCATGTAATAAAAATAAGACTCAAAAAGTCACTTTGGATTGAACTCAAACCGCGGATCAAATCTTGATTCCAATTTTTACCAAATATGTATACATTGTTTTACTACAAAAATAAATTTAACCCCAAAAAGCTACCAATTTCTCTTAATGAACTTTTATCTCAGCCAACAAATTACCAAATGTACCCTCACTAATTTAGCCAATGTGAAGCTTCAATATTTGGGCACATGGTTTTGTCATATGGGCCATGCAGGCAAAAATATGGGCCTTATAGTGGGAAAAACTTTAGCCCACCTAAAACTTTAATTTTTGGGTAGGTGGAGCTACAATAGTTGGGCCATCAAGAGGAAAACAATGGACCTGATAAAATTAATTTTATGGTATAGAATTTTATGTAGGGACGGATCCAGAATTATAACTTTGGGGAGCCAAAGTACATTTAACCTCTAACCAATAAAATTTGAAATTTAATATCAATTTCTACCAACATGAAAAAAATCAATAACGTTACGATAAAATATTGAACTATATATTCCTTGTCAACATAGTTGAGAAAAAAAGTTGATCATACAATTGAGAATATTTTTTTGCCCATATTCACTTACAAAAAGTAGTAACTATCTCTACATACATTTATTTACTAAAATTAGGCATCTTCAATTGAGTTTGACGCTCTTTTATAATATCAAAAGCATGAATGGTAGAGTCTACATCGAACCCTCAAGTAATATCTTTTTCAATGTACGTAATCAAGTAACTAGTCAGAAAACCATCTTCAATCCTATTGCGCCAAAAATTTCCAAATAGTTTAAAAAATTGGGAGGACTACTCTATATAATTTTGAAATTATCTAAAAAAAAATTAGGGGTGCGAATTCCTATAATCTTAAATTACTTTAAAATTTTTAATATAATATATGATATTTTTTAAATTTTTGGGGTTCTCCCAAGATCCATCCTTGATTTTATGGTTAGACCATCGAGAGACCCTCAATGGGTTTTTGGGTCAGTAAGAGTCAAATAATGGGCTTTATAGGAGGGTAACAATTTTGGGGATTCTATTTTCACTTAAAATAATTAATCGGTACGTTCAGTATTTGAAGTATCAAAGCATTACATACAAAACTCAACCACATAAGTAACTCATTGTTTTTTTTTTTTAACTAACTACATAGTAACTGTAACCAAAAGAATTCAGACCAACTCTCTGAATCCGAGAGATCATCTAGAAAGTTCTCATAATAATCCGAAGAGCTGTGATCAAAATCAACAATATTTTCTATTTTATTACTTCAAAAAATATTTTTGATTATTAGTTTTATCTATTATTTGATTTTATTCAAACTATTTCTATTTGTAAATAAAAACACAACAAGAAATAATAATGTTGATGATAATAATAAATAGACTTGAGTATGAAGAATGTGTATAAATGATTAAGGTGTACCATGAGGCAAAAAAATTAAGGCTGTGTTTGGTTATGTTATGTAAATATAATTCCATCCCTCCATTTGCATTTCATATTTGGATAGAGTTTTCAAAATGTGATTCCACCACACATTTCAAAATGTAATTCTCCTTCACGTTTGACTACTCTCTCTCTCTCTTTCGCGTTCTCCATTCTGAAAAGTAGAGGATTTTTGAATTTTGAGTCTACCCGGTCATCCTCCTAGACGTCCCCCCAGATGTTCGACTGATTGTCCGATCAGTTGACCAGAACAATGTATTTTTTTTTTATTTTTTTGCAATTGTCAATCGTCAATATCGCCACATGTTATTTGGAAAAATAAAAAATAAGAAATTATATTTGTTGTTGATATTTTTTAAATATAAAAATTATTTTTTTAGACCAAAATGTCATTTTTTTTTTTAATTTTAATGTTAAAAAGAGTTTGGTTATGAGTTTAAAATAGAATTTTTAATAGAGTTTTGAATTGTGTGTTTGATTATGAGTTATAACTTTTTGAATTAAGTTTTGAAAACTCATTTCAAAACTCAAAACTAAACAAATTTTCTTATTTTATATGTCACATCAAACGTTCAAAACTCGATTCAACATTCAACTCAAAACTCTTTTCAAAACTCATAACCAAACAAATTTTCTACACTTAAATCATAATTTTAAAACTCACAAACTTAAAATACAACTCTATTATCAAATTATATTTTCAAAACTCTACCAAACACTACCTAAGATTTTATGTGTATTGACGTTATTAATAAATTTACATTAATATATAATGGGAATTAAAGTTTCAAATTTTTAATTAGAAATAGTGAGTTATTTAGGTACATATAGAATCACTCTAATTTTAGGCCTTATGGAGGCCTAAAGAGGATTACTGAGAAATCTTAAAATAATATTTCTAAATAACTTAGGTCTTAATTGAATAATTTCTTAATAAATTAATAGATAGCCTAGTTTGGAAACTTGATTTTTGGTTTAAACTGTATATAAATATATATTTAAAAATTTTAAATTTATATAAATAAAAAAAGTCAAATAATTATTAAGAAAAAACAGGTCAAACACTACAGTTATTCATGTTTTTCTATGCAGTTAAAAAAATTAAATATATTCATTCTGTTTGGTTTTAATTTTCAAAATTTACTTGTTAAAAAATTTTGCTTTTTTTGTTTTCCGTAGTTTTTGTTTTCATTGAATTTTTTTAATATTTTAAGCATTTTAAAAAATTTTTGACATACCTAACATAAATATACTTAAAAAGTATAATATTTATGAAAAAAAATTTAATTCACTAAATACTAAAAATACAAAAATTCTATACATTTTTCATATTTCTGTGTATTTATTTATTTTTTAAAAAATATTTTTTTACAAATATTTTACTTTTTAAATGCATCTTACTTAGATGCATCTAAAAAAGTAAAAAAAAAATTACTTAAAATTTTTAAAATATTCAATAAAAACAAAAAGAAATATGAAAAATAAAAAATAAAAAATTTAATTTTAAAAAAATTGAATTCAAAAAATTAAAATCAAACACGTTGATTATTTTTTTTCACTTTATAAAAAGAATCACAAAAATACCTAAAAAATTCAAACTCCAAACAAGGCCGTAATAGTTTATGTCTAGGGATGTAATAATGCCCAGCTCGACCTATCCAAGCCGAGCTCAAATCGGCCCAAGCAAGCCTCGCAGGCTCTCGCTTTTTTAGCGGGTTGGCCCATGAGCCAAAAAGTAAGGCCCAAGTCCAGCCCCAAGCCCAAGCTCACTTATAATAGGGCCTAGGGCCTGGGCTCGGCCGCGGCTAATTAGGCCTTTTTTTTTTGAAAAATAAACGATAAATACATTATCTATGTAGATTATTTATTAGGATTAAAAAAATAAACGAAAAATTATACTAGAGTATTTTAGTTAAGATTAATGAGATGTTTTGTTTGGTTATGTTTCATGATAGTATTTAAATTTAATTATGTATGACTTATATTTTTTTAATTATAAACTTATAACTAAAAAAGTATGCAATTATGTAATTTTTTTCTTTCAAAATGAATAATTTTTATATATATGAAAATGAAACTTTCAATATCACAATATTAAATTAATTATGAGAGGGTGGTTTATGATCTGGAATTGGGCCGAGGTAACGGCCGAGCAAGTTGAGAGCCCAACCGTGCATGGGGCCGAGATGATCGATCATCCACCCGGAGATGGGCTGCCAGAACTTGGGCCGGGCAGAAATTGGGCAAGTGTGTGCCACCCCAGACCGTAAAGAAGCTGTTCGGCAAGGCAGTGCTCGGTTGGACCGAGCTGCTTGATCAGGGATGGCTGAAGCCAGACAAGCTGAGTGACCGGCGCCCGGAAAGGCGTGGTCAACCGAGGAAGGCCGATCACAGGAGGTGCCCGAGCTAGGCTCTGCCGAGATGCCGCTTAGCCCGGTCCTCCTTGGGTTTAGCCAGTGAGGTACTTGGGTTTGAAGCACAGCATGGCCATAGATAGAGCAGCTCGGCTGCCGAGCTCCAGCTGTGAAGGCAGGCAGTTGAGATTAGGTGATGTTCAGCAAGGTTTATGCTGACAGATGGGATAGTGGAGCCACGTGTCAGGAGATGACTGGGAGTAGATATGGGGCACAGAGGGTATATAAGCATGTCTGCGCCCCCCATACGTGACAGATGAACACTCTGTAAGGAATTTCTTACACTAAAACACCTCTCTCTCTCTCTCTCTATCCTAAGGTGCGTGCTAACTTAATCGTCGGAGGGTTTTTCCGGCCACACACCGCCGGGTAGCTCACCATTCTTTGCGCGCAGGTGATCGGACATAAACGGAACTCGGAAGAAAGGAGTACGAGCTTGCCGAAATATTAGCTCCCCGCACAAATTATATAACATTTATTGAATGAATAATTTTTATTTCAAAATGAAATAAAATATTACAAATATTTATATTATTAAATAAAATATGTGTAGATTATTAATGATAGTAGAGCAATTGCATCACTATAGATCAAGTACATCTCAACTAGGTTGGCACTTATTAGCCTACCAATCATTTGCATTATACTCCACTTCAATAATCTAATACCAAAAAAAAAATGAAATGAAATAGTAAAAAACAAATTGTTGATCAACCATCAGAGGAGATAGACATTTCAGTCGCGTTGCCTGAGGATACATCATCCAAATCATTTTGAATTTACTCATTTTCACTATAATTTTATTTTCTTGTAAACGCATGCATATGGTGGGTGTTTGGTAAAACTTAATTTCAACTTAAAGCAGCTTTTAGCTTAAATTAAGCTGTTGTGGTGTGTTTGGTACAACTTATGAGGATAGCTTATGGCTTAATTTAAGCCAAATTTCAGCTTAAATTTGAAGCAACTCAAAGGGTGCTTATGAATTCAGCTTATGCGCGCAGCTGATCACTCTTGGGCCAAAATGACTTAAATGTCCTTCCCATTTGAATCTAATTACAAGTGTGCCAGGTATATTAACCAAAATCACTCATTTTTTCTCTTTTACACAAACGGCCCAGGCGATTTCCGACAAACCCAGGCAATTCCCGGCGAATAGTTGTTCTTCTCTC